CTTGGAGATCTAATAGTTCGATTTCAAATTGAGATATTTCTTCAAGTATGTTTTCTGGAATTAGACAACATCACTAATAATATCAATTAAAAAAAGATTTAATAAAACTGCTAATGATGATTTAAGAGCAAACAAATCTTTAAACCTGTTTTGAAAACCTTCGAATAAATTCTTTAGTTTTTCCTGGTATGATTCAATCTTATGAATATCATACTTAATTGTATGATTAGGATTATAAATCATCTTCTTCGTTTGAAGAAAATGAAAATCTTTCTGAAGCAGAGCAATTTTTTTTAAAACCTTAAACTAAATAGAGAAAGATCAGATATATTTTTTTCTTTTCCCTAAAATGACAAATTCAGATTTTGTAAATGTTGCATTACATCCGTAAAAATAAAAAATCTTGCAAAAAAATAACACTTCTTCAAAGACTTTATATGTTTTTTGCTCTTCAAGCAAAAAAAGATTTAGAGTACTGTAAAATTCTCATTTAACTCTATTTTGAGCAAACTTAGGACAAAAATTTGGTAACAACAGCCAGGTATGGCTTAAAAGGCTCAGAAAGGCTTGTGTTATGCTAAATCTGCAATATTATGTGTATTGTTAAAAATTCATTGGTGTGCAGCTGAAAATCCTGTTTAAAAATGTTTGTTTTAGAAATTACAAATATTACATTAAGTGCTTCACACCAGTTTAAAAATTTTGTTAATACCACTAACAACAATTTCAAAAATATCTCTTATCAGCCTTTTTCTACTGCCTTGACAAATAACTCCATTAGGAGATGACTAATATGACAAATAACTTCATTAAGAGATGAATCTTTTTCCATCTCAACTGGTGATGCTACTTGCTTAACCTTATAAGGATCAAATTATACAATCTTTGTAATGTTTACTTGACGAGATCAAGCATGACCGTAGACAACTTTTTTAAACTAGAGAGTAAAGGGTTAGGGGGCTATTAAGAGAAAAGATGCTAGCAGTTTGCATCTTTTCTCTTAATAGAAAAGATGCAAATGTTGACCCTTTTGATATAGGTTAGTCTGTAATTTAGACAGTTAGTCGGAAAATGTCGTCATGGCAGTCGGCAAATTTTCGAAAACGAGGAACGTTTTTTTTTTTTTTTTTTTTAATTTTTTTTTTGTAGGCAAAAGTTGTAATGGCAACCCCCCATCCCCCCAACGTGACACCTTCGCGCAGATTGTTAGGATTGCAATTTTGTAAAAGTTTATTAATTTTTTTTTTCTAAGGTTCTGGCGAAGTCGTAATACATTTAAGTCGTACTAACAATATAAAAACTAGGTTTCCAAAAGAAAATCATAAGAATCTTATTATCGTAATCTTAAAAAATAAAAATATTTATTTGTAACATAAATATTTATGTTACAAATAAATATTTTTGTTTGTAACATAAATATTTATGTTACAAATAAATATTTTTGTTTGTAACATAAATATTTATGTTACAAATAAGAAAAACGGTCGTTAAAAACAAATAAAGATAAATCGTTTTTCCATATAAAAGTAAAACATAAGACATTAAATATGTTCAGTTTATAAACACCTAGAACCTTCATATAATAAAAAAAATATTTTGAATGTGAAAAGCGATCCGCATAATTAATTATGCGGATTGTATGTTTCTGACGGCAATAAAGATGTTGTAATTTACTTTTTTCCGTACTTTCCCAGGCGATGATTGCATAATTTATATAATTATGTATAAATGAATAATAGAGTTGGATTAAGTTTTCTTTGTTTAGATAATCGGGCTTTGTATAAAATGTCAATATTTTTGGAAATTTTTTTGCTTATATGATCAATATGTTTTCTCCAAGTAATTTTCTCATCAAGGTAAACACCTAAGAATTTTATAACAGTATCTCTTTTTATTATCGTTTCATCAATATAAAATTGAGGCATATTACTTGGTGAAAAACGTTTTTTTGCGCAGGAGTGAAAGATAATCTATTTTGTTTTGTTAATATTTAAAGTTAATTTATTAGCTTTGAACCAATTAGAAATGTGATTTAGTTCTTTGTTTGTATTTGAAAAGAGTTCATAAATATCAGTATGGGATAAGAAAAAATTAATATCATCAGCGAACATTATACTTTTCAATTTCAAAGCTTTGTTTAAGTCGTTTACATAGATTAAAAATAGTAGTGGTCCGAGAATAGAACCTTGTGGAACACCACAGGTTATGCTCAGGGGTTCACTTTGCTGACCATCATTACTATAAACAGGTTGTTTTCGATTTGTTAAATAGCTTTCAAACCATTTTAAGATTCTATTGTTTAAACCATAATGTTTAATTTTTTGGATTAAAATGTGATGATCGATGGTATTAAAAGCTTTTAATAGGTCATTAAAAACACCTTGTGTATATTGGGATTTTTCAAAAGATTCAGAGATGTTATGTATAAATTGAATATTGGCATGTTCAGTTGAACTCCCTTTTCTGAAACCATACTTATTGTTATGAAGTAAGTTGTTGTAATTAAAATAATTGTATACCCTATTAAAGATAATTCTTTCTAAAATTTAGAAAATATAGAAAGAACAGAGATAGGACAATAATTACTGATATTGGATCTGTCGCCTTCTTTATGGATAGGGGTAACCCTGGCAAGTTTTAAAAGTTCGGGAAAAATAACTTGATGTATAGATGCTCCGAAAAATTTAAAAAGAATATTTTTTAATTGTTTGTAGCAATCTATAACAATATTTCCGTTTGTTTCATCTGCACCAGGTGCTTTATTTTTTTAAAAGTTTTTTCAAACTCATCAAATGATAGTTTGGCAGATAATTCTTCAGAGCAAATATTTTTATCAATAGGTATCAAAAAATCATAAAATGAGGTTTGGGTTTTTGGTAATTTACTTGGCTGAGTTGATCCAATTTCAGTGAAATATTTATTGAATTTATGAGCTTTTATTTGTGGTTCATACAAGCTATTGTTATTGACTTTAAGCATTTGTGGCAAAGAGCTTGAGCATATTTTCTGTTTTCCAGTAATTTCTTTTAATACTAGCCAAGTGCTTTTTGAGTCTTTTTTAACTTTATTAATTAATTTTGAATAGTAAGTTTTTTTTAATTTTTTCCGATTTTTTCGAAAATATTTTTGTAATCTTTGTAAATTTTTTCGCTGGTTGGTGTTTTTGTTTTCAGATATTTTATGTATAGTTTTTGTTTAGTTTTGGATGCTTTTTTGAATCCTTTGGTCAGGGTTATCTTTCAGATACCTCGTTTATGTTTGTTATGTTTTATGCCATTGTAAGTTTACATTATTATTTTTATTTTGGGCTGTACAACGATTAACAAATGTAAACCAAAAAAAAAAAAGATGTAGAGACAACAGAAAAACAATCATTAGCAGTAGTGATAAGATCAAAAGAGATACAGCCAAATCTACTTTTCAATTGACATTAATTTTGAGAGGATTTGGTCAACCTTATTGTGATTTCACCAAATGCGTTTAAAAGTTGAAAAGTTCTATAAGAAAATAGAATTAACTTTTAATTTTCCTGTCTTAAACACTGTAAGTTAAATTTGACAGTTTACACATACTAAAAAAGAAATTCTGTCATCATTAAGTTAATGTCTTTTTGAACAATTTGTTAAACACTTGTCATTTGTGTCAGTTCTCTACATTTTTTATACAGAAAGTAAAAAACTTTTGTTCAACAGCTTTTGTGTGTTTTTGCTGAGTTTAACATTTTGGTAATTGCTAGCTTTAAATAATGAAATATCCCAGTGGAAAAAAAGACCTCGAGAAGACGTCTTTAAAAGTCTTATTTAAAAGTCTTTTATGATAAGTCTTATTTAAATGTCGATTATGCAAATCTAAAAGACATCTTTTTTCGACATCGAAATGACGTCTTTTTTTATATTAATCTTGTCATGAAAAGACATAAAAAAATGTGTCTTTAAGACGCCAATTTATTAGTCGAATATGCAAATCTAAACGACATCTTTATTCGACATCGAAAAAACGTCTTTTTTTTATCTTAATCTTGTCATGAAAAGACATATTAATGCATCTTTAAGACGCCTTTTTTTAGTCGAGTATGCAAATCTAAAAAGGTGTTTTTTCTTGGGGTGGGAACGACTTTTTTGCCATACTTATTAGTATACTATAGTATCCTATACACTATAGTATTCCTACGTTTCTTATATGAAAAGCTATTTTTTTCAAATGAAAACTGATCCTTTTAATTCACTCATGTTTCTAACGCGGTCCCTTCTTTTTGAACCCACTAGGTTAGATTGGGACAGGAGTCAAACGGTAAACAGTCTAAAAATATATATAAAAATGAGTGCTAAATAAATTTAAAACCATCAAAATGACTGTACAACGATGTATTTTATCATGTAATACATAAATCAAGCTAAACATTTGCACCTCTCAGATTTGTTATGAAAAACAAGTTATTGAAAACAGATATTGATATTTTTCTGTCTTCTATAACATGACTTTTTAATTGAATTTCGCTGAAATTCAATTATGTGTTGTAGACTCATAAAAATTCAAAAATTTGTTATTGACTAAAGACTATCAAAATAAAAAAATAATTCAGCGAATACACCTTGAGTGTTGTTATTCATTTAAACTAGAAAAAAGAATTAGTTTAAAGCTCTATTTTTGCCTGAAACATAAGGATGCTTTACTTAACAACATAAAATCATAAAAACTGGCGATATCATTAGCAACACAAATGAAATACACATAAACAAAAATGAAGACTAGAAAGCTGCAATGATGTTTAGATATAAGTGTACCTTTCCAGTATTATTTTCACTTGTTTTTTTGTATCCAAACCAAAAATTTTGCGTACAGTTCTAAAGATAAATCTGTTGTCATTATGAGTATTTTTATAATTGCTATGTTAATGACAGACAACAGTTAACAAGGAAATAACATATTTAGTATAAAAGTTAAAGAGCCAATCTTTTGTATAAACATTTTCATCATTTAACTAAATAAAAACAACAAAATTATTCAGATTATTTAAAATATATTAAAAAAAAATTCCAAGCCAACTGAATGCTTCTATTTTTCTATCGTTCGTTTCACTGGCACTTGAACAAGTAAATACAGAGAGAAATTATTTACAGGTTTATTTTTTTCGTCTGAAAATAAATATTCTAATTTAATAAGTAATAAACAACGTTCTTCAAGCACAATACATTAAAAAGTTAGTCTAAAAACAAACGGTAAAACTTTTTACTTACTAGATCATATCGATACCATCTTACTGGCACCACTCCAACCACTTTTGCTTCTTCCGATTAACATTTTTTAGCTAAGCAGCTGCAAATGTATATTATATATATATATATATATATATATATATATATATATATATATATATATATATATATATATATATATATATATATATATATATTATATATATATATATATATATATTTGGGATAAAAAAAAACTGCATTTTTCAGAATTTAAATTTGTTTTTGTTTTTTTACCAAAAAAAGCATAAAACGTGAACACCGCATGAACTAATGTTTGAAGCGAGCTTTGGCCATATTTCGCACCATCGTTAAGGAAGAAGACGTTAACTTCCTTGTTAAATGGTCTTTTGCGGTGTTCTTTTTGTGAGTAGACCGTTAGAAAGTCAGAGAAAAAAATTACATCATAACGTTATAACAATTCAAAATGAATTTTACGGGGTTGGTGGTTAAACAAATTGTGTCTTCTTCTTGCCCCAGCGATCTTTATTTATGTTGAAGTATTATTTGTTTTTTATATATTTATTGGACAAAACATAAAAGCAAAAAATAAAAAATAAAACGGAGTTTAATACTACTCTACTGTTAATATTTAACAATTTTAAAGTCCCACCGAAATAAAAGTGTTTAGTTTAGCAGCCATAGAAAACGTAGCTTTTATCACTTAAATTGAACTGAGAAAGCTTCTTAAACACTGGTGAATACGGTTACAGCTTAGTGAATATTTAAAGTTTGGTGCTGAAATTACAAAAAACATTGCGTAATGCTCCGGATTTTAAGTTGTTCTGTTGATAAAGTTTTCTTTTTATAGTTTTTATAATTTTTTTGAAAATAATTTTTTTAGGAAAAAAAACTAAACCATAAAATAATTTTTTTTTTTTTAAGAACAAGTTTGAGATCATAAAACAATGGTAACAATGGTTTCTGTTCATATTTAGTTGATATGTTTCAAATATAAGCATTATATAACAAATTCTTTTTCTGTTTTGAAAACAAACCTATGATATAACTTGCACGGTTGGCCAAAAAGACCGCCAGGTTTTATGTTGTATTACTTGAACGAAACTTTTTTTATTTAAGAGTATTTGCCTTATAAAAATAGAATCTAGCGTTTTTAAAATCCGAAAAAAATGCTAAGGGTCACAAATGGGGCAAAAAAGTAAATTGAGGGGCCTGATGCCCATTTGACCACTTTAGACGTCCATTACAAAATATATATAAATTAATTGAGAATATGTGTCTTATAAAAATCAAATATAAAGTTTTTAAACTATAAAAGTCGGAACAAAGTCCTAAGGATCACAAAGGACACAAAAAAAAAAAAATTGAGGGGCCCTACCCCCATTGAAGTATTTTAGACGACCATTGTAAGAAAAATTTGTTAATTTATGATATTTGTCTTATACAAATTGACACAAGTGTTTTACAATCGAAACAAAGAACTAAGACTCACAAAGAAAGCAAAAAGGTTAAATTGATGATGACACAAGTCCATTCAAACATTTTAGATGCCTGTTACAAATAAAGACTTTAACCAATTTAAAAAAGTAAAACAAAAAAAAAAATATTTACAATAATAATTTATATTTGTTACACAATCCAAATATTCATTTTCCTGCACTTTAGAAAGCAACATGTCAAAGTTAAAGATAAATTAAAGTCTTCTTTCATTGAAATTTATTTAAGAGGATAACAGCTGTTCTCCATGTTGAGCATGGTCTTCTGCACATTTATATCTACTCCAGGTAGGTTTAAATTTAGAATGGATAGCCTCTCCACACTGTTCAGCAAACTTAGCTAGACTACAGTTATGGTGTTCGACAATTGGTTGAACATGACACAGCAAGATGTGAAACTTCCAGCTTTATAAACATTTTTTCCCTAAAGTCTGTGCAAGCTCTTGGGTAGAAAGCAAAGAATTTTTAAACACAGTAAATGCCATTTTATACTCTGTCAAAAGAATTTGACCAAAACAGGAATCTTTTACTATTTTAAAGTCTTTCAAACACTGAATTATAGGTCTCAGTTGAGGAACCTGAGATGCTACTACTTTATCAAGTTCATAAAGGTTTTTCAGGATCTTGTTAGAATTATTTCCGTCCCAACCTCTACCTTGATACCCTCTCTGATAAACACTTTTAGTTTTCAGCCAGTCATCAAATTCAGGTCAAATATCCATAAGTAGACATCCTAAAGTAGATACAACTCCAATCAAAAAATGTAATTCAGGAGGTGGTACCAAATGCTGAATTAGAGTATCTGGACACTTCTCTAGATAGAGAACCCTCGGATGTATCACATTCATATATTGTTGCATGTTAGATTTTTTAGATTTATTTTCAACACTGTATTTTTCATACCAATAATCAAGACTTCCAAGGGTTCTTAACTTTCCACATTCTCCATTTTTCAAATCTTCACACCACAGGCATGCTCTTTTTCCTGCATGACCTGGTAGACCAAACACAGCATTAGCGCACTTTAAATCAAATGCTACAAAAAAATTGACATCTTGTAACTTAAGTTATGATTTTATTCAGGAACATCTTCAACAATAGCAAGAATTATACAACGTTAAACACCACTATTCATGTACATTACAGAAGACTTTTTTTTCATTTACATCAAAAACATTGATTATAATTTTCAAAAAAGATCCTTCACTATCCATAGAAATTCGTAAAAATGCAGAATGAACGTCTAAACCACGGTTAATCAAATCCATTGTGAAAGATGATGACTCTTGAACATACACAAGATCCTTTTCAACAATTCCCAATTCATTGTCAAGGAAATCTATCTGAAAAGATGTATAAATAGATAAGTGTCATTATTTTGTCACATTCATATAGTGTCATTATATTATATATAAAAATTACTAAGAAAACTTAAAGATTAATAAAAAACACAAAATAATTATGTAAATTATTCAAAATCTAATTCGAATATCATTCAACTTTAAATTAGCTTCACTATTTTACAAATAATATTGTACATATATGGATGGTTACACATTGTATAAGTACATTTTGTAATGAATAAACATGTTTAGCCATAAAAAATAATAGTTATATAAATAATACACACTTGTTTGGCTAGGACATATTTTTTTTAATGGCATTTTATATATTTATATGGCTTATGGAAGAGTAAAAGCATCTTTTTTTACAACCAAATATCTTTCCTGGTGTTAACCTGTTATGAAAATTAGGAATATATTTTACAACCACTATGAAGATTAGTATTCAAAGTAATAAGCCTAAAAAGCATTGTCTGATCTATATAAGATCAGTTTCTATCTTACTATAGAATAAGGATGTTTTATTCACAGTGAAGGATCTCTCTCTTTTTTGCATATCATTTTATATTAGAAAATCTAACATCATAAAAGAGCAATTTTTTGATCAATATATTACTAGATATCTATAAATAATATACAAATATGAATATATTTAAAATATTTAAATTACCTTTTCTACATGATAAAAATGTGATACGGATTCCAAAAGAGCATTTAACTTGCCAAAAATGTTAGTTTCTACAACAGTCTTAATCCCTATTCCTTTCCGAAGAGTAGAAATTAATTGTTTGGTCTTTTTATGAGAAAGCTCTAATACGACTTGAAGTTCCTTTATAACTTGTAAGGATACTTGTTTTACTTATCTTCTATTTACCTTGTTAGAAGGACATCCAACAGTTAAATCCAACGGGTTTCCCCCAGTTGATAAAGAAAATGTTGTCCCTGTTAAAGTGCAGTCTGCACTCAATTTATTTTGTATTATACCTGAAGCAACTTGTTCAGCTTAAATGCTCCCTAGACTTGTGGATAGAAAAATCAAGTTTTTAACAGCAGTTGACGAAGAACAGTTGTGGGCATTTCTTCTAATAAGATTGAGTAGCATTGTCCACAGAGCTTTGAATTATTGGCAGAAAAAGATATTACTGGTTCGGTTTTACTAATTGGGAGCATTCCGTTTGAATTTCTGGTCTACATTTTCCATTCAACCTTTAAAAGTGAAATAAAAAATTATATAAATATAAGTGCTTCATTACAATTTAGAATTTGCTATAAATAGTAAAGGTATATCTTTTTTAATAATGAGGTTAAAAATAAAAATACGTAATAACGTTATTTTCGTTTTTAACGTTTTTTTAATAATTATTAAAGCTTATTTTTTAAGACTATTGATTTCTATATAGATGGTATCTATATCTGAAGAAATCAATATTAATAAACTTAATAAACTTAATAGCTTAAAAAAACTTGACAGAAATAATGAGTTTAAAATTAGTTTTAATTAAAATAGTTTTACATTCTACCTTTGATACTTTCTCTCCCACGAGCCTCTGGGTGTATACCGGACTTGATCATGTAAAGATTTCTTCTACAACTGGAACAATTTACAGTTGAGTAACTGCTAATTTCCAGGGAATAACCGGGATATATATACAGCTTCATCAAATCTTCTATTGTTGAATTTACAGAAGATAAAGATAAAGACCTTGCTCAAAAATATTTTCAGCAGCAACAACTAGGTACGCGGAAATAGCGATTTACGGAACCGAATTTTGTGCAAAATTCTGTGACTCGTTTTTTTTACTTTTTTTTTGGTAGTGTAAGGCAAACGTATTTTTAAGTAATTCCTTTATAAAAACATATATACACATAGTATATTTTTAGAAAGAAGAAGAGTTAAGCTTGTTTTTTATAAGACTTTTATATATTGTTATTGAATTTTTTTATGGATTATTTTGCTGCTGAAAAATAGGTTGGTGCTCTCACATGAATTTATAGTCGAAGAAATGTTGAGCCCCTTTTTTTTATTATTAGAAATGTTTTCTACATGCATTTTCTATGCACATGCCAAATTTCATCGAAAAAGAGATATAAGCAAATAGTCGAATTAGTGTTATTTAAGTATAACACTTTTTTTAGGTAGACTTAGGCAAACTTACTTTTCTAGTAATTCTTTTTAGAAACATATATAATTGTAAGCCATTATTTAAAAGTAGAAAGGTTAAGCTTGATTTTTATATGTTTGTTAAGCATGGTTGCAATACTT